AGAGTGCTTTCCCAGGCAGAAGAAGTTCTGCTGCTTTTTCACAAGAGCTCGAGTTGGTAATCTACTGAAGCCTGGATCCCAAAGCAAGTCTCTGTGCAATTCCTTTCCCAAGACATCTGAGACTGTGCACGATGGCATCTGTGCAGTTACGTGTGGAGTCAGGACCAGACACAGCATTCCTGAACTCGATCCTGCACCCTATGCTCCCATCCCATTGGAACAGCGCACGGGCGCAGGGCTGGCTCAGAGCCAGCGCAACACCAGGGCTAACGTGCCCCAACTCGCGCTTCAGTATCAGGGAGTCTGGTGCAGATATAAAAGCAGCTCTGCCAGAAACAGCTAGGGCTACGCTTAGTAGCTCAGGATCAGTGGTGACCATGCTGGGTCTGGGCTGGCTTTGGCAGAAGTGTTTCTGAAGAACGTCAGGATGAAACCGCTGAACTCAAGTAGTGCATGACCTGCTGTGTAAGACTGATGGCAAGAAATAGGAAGGCGGCAAATATGACATGGTTTTGTAATGGGTTCCTGAAGAACTCCAGATCAGTAAGCCTGGTGTCCATACTGAAGAACAGAATTAACATGCAAGAGGATAAATGAGGCATAAGCGGAAGAGACAGTGTGCCCTTTGTCATACCTCAAAACCTCCTGCAAGTCTCTGAAGGAAACTAACCACAACAAATTAAATGCAAAACCATAACAGAGTCCATTAGAGTGATAAGTTATTAAAGCTGTAAAACTGAAAACAAAACTAACACATTTTCACACTGGAAGCTTGCCAGAGAGTCAACAGATAATAGAGGTGTAAAAGAATCATTTAAATAAGATAAAGGCATAGCAGAAAAACATGCTGAGCTATCCACACTATCAAGGAACTAAGGGAAATTCCCACAGTGAAACTTTCTTTTTACTAGGAAAAATGGGAGGACCTGCTTCAAATGAAGGTGTCAGTGGGATATGTTTCGGATCAAATTAATAAGATGAACAGTAAGTGGCGTAGGCCAGATGGCATTTATCCAAGAGCTCTGAAGGAACCAAAACACGCATCTCAGCTACTATAGGGCAAGTAACCTATTGCTTAATTCAGCTGACACCAGAGAAATGGCAGGAGGTAAATGAGATGCCAGGGTTGGGCTTGGTGTTTTGGGTTTTTTTTTTTTTAAGGGCTTCAGGGAAACCCTGGGGACTTATAGCTTGTAAACCTGACTTCCACATTGGGAATTAGGAATAGCACTACTGAGCATATAGAGAAACAGGATTAAGGGGAAAGGGATAACCCCACTCTAGTGGAAGGAAGTCATGCCTCACTCTCTGAAGGAGTCAGAAATCCTGTTTCATGGATGTAGCTGGGTAGATGGAGAAAGTGTAACTGGATTCCCAAAAAGCTCTCTGCAAGGTCCTACACCAAGGACCTAAGTGGTCCTTACTTGTCTACTCCTGCAACATGTTTGTTACTCATGGTCAATGACAGGGTAGCAGGCAGAGAATGGAAGATTTGTGGTCAGTGTTCAAGATGGAGGGAAGTATCAGGAATGTTCCACTGGGATCTGTGCTAGGGTCTCTGCTTTTCAGGATACTCATAAATGGTCTGGGAAAGGGTGTGAGCAGCAATGGGACAAAGTTTGCTGAGAAGAGTAAGGTATTCAGCCTAGGGGAAATGAATACTACAAAAGAATGAAGAGTTCAAGAAAGATCTCACAAGGAACGGTTGGACAATAAAATGGCAAATTAAAGTCAGTATTGGTAAATGTAAGGTGATTTACAAGAAGTTCTGGCTGCACAAGGAGAGAGTTCAGACCAGTTATCCTCACTCAGAAAGGCAGCCTGGGGGTCATGGTAGAAAGGAATGGGACAGAGGGCACAGGCAGAGGGTCTTCCCTGGCTGTTCACCTGCAGGGTGTCCCTGAGTTGTGTGCTGCTGCTGCGTTTTCTCGCTTCCCTCTCAGAGAAGACTGTGGAATCAAGAAGGGGCATAAAGGGAAAGAAGGAAAATCAAAAGCGTAGCATAGAGAAGACAACAAATGGAGGGAAGCAGATGTATATAAAATTACGTGTGGTGAGGGAGGTGTTTTGGAAATGATTCCTGGAGCGAGTCCAGTGAATGGCTACCCAGATGATGAAGGGACTGGAGCATCTCTCATACGAGGAAAGGCTGAGAGAGTTGGGCCTGTTCAGCCTGGGGAAGAGAAGGCTCAGGAGGGATCTGATCAATGTGTACAAGTATCTGAAGGGAGGATGTTGAGAGGATGGGGCCAGACTCTTCTCCGTGGTGCCCAGCGACAGGACAAGAGGCAACGGGCACAAACGGAAATACAGGAAGTTCTGTCTGAACAGGAGGAAAAACTTTTGCACTGTGAGGGTGACTGAGCACTGAAACAGGTTGCCCAGGATGGTTGTGGAGTCTCCTTCGCTGGAGATATTCAAAAGCCATCTGGACACAATCCGGGGCAAAGTGCTCTAGGTGACCCTGCTTGAGCAGGAGGTTGGACTACATCTCCAGAGGTCCCTTCCAACCTTGGCCAGTCTGTGATTCTATGCAATTCTGATTATTTGTGGTGTTTTACAGTATAGAAACAAGGGCATATTGACTAAACGATGACACAGTAGATTAAAAAAACAAATATAAGTATTTGTTTTTCACTCCGCATCATAAATTCTGAAGAACTAATTGCCTAAAGCTGTTATGGAGGCAAATATTGATCAAAAGCAATCAGAGAGTTTTATGGAAGAGCAACCCAGCAAGGACTGTTAGACATGAGGATACTTTGTTTCACAGTAGGACTAAACTGAATAGTGCTGGAAATAGTTATCAGAGGAAGCACCACTTTATGCCTATATTGCTCCTCAGTCTGCTCCAAGCACACCTCGCTGGCCATCGTCATGCCAGGACCCTGTGGTGGTTTGGTCCTATATTCCAGGCAGCATCCTTATGCTCTCACGATGCCCCAGGAGGAGCTAGCTAAGAAGCAAAGCCATGGTCAAGCCGCCTGCAAAAGAACAGCCTGCTCTAGGTGTTGCTGCAAAGCAATGCACACACCATGTGAATACTCAGTCTGCACAAAAATGCCTACTAGCTAAACAATAGGGAAGACTGTATCTGAGAGCCACTTTTACAACACTCCACCGCAGTTTGACACAGCCCAGCATGAAGCTAAGGGCAGCGTGGAGAGCCTTTTCTGGGCTGAGGGCCAAAACAGGTCTTTAAATGCATCTGAGGAAGGAAACATGTCAACATACACTGTAGCATTGCCCAGGAAGAAAACAAACAACATGAGAGCTTCAAGTTGTGTGAAAAGAAGTTAAGAGCCACACTGGTCCTTGGGTCACAGGTCCATGTTCCTAAACCTCAAGTCCGTATCAAAGATTTCAGGTCTATATCAAAGATGATAGCCAGACTGAGGAGAGGTGAGGAGAAACATGACTGGAAAAAGGGAGAAGGGTTGAGAATGGAAGGAAAGAAGAATGCAAAACTTTTTTTTGCCAGCCTGATCGTGGGTTCCTGGCCAGACACCCTGAAGGCCGAAGAAAAGCCAGAGTTTTAGTATGGACAAAACAGGACTGATCTAGAGCAGAGAGAAATCTTAGTCTAGAGATGGTTAGCTGAAATGTTGTTTGCAGCTGAGATCATTCAGACGTAAAGCGCAGAGGGAGGAGATAAGAGTGGGACAGAAAACCCTTCTGCAAGATCAAAGAGGTGGATTGGGAAGTTCTCTGATGGATGCCCTAAAGCACGACTTACAGAGTTTGGGGGGTGGGGGGGGGTGGAGCTAGGAAGCCAGAGTCAGGAAGCTGAGAGAGCGTGCTTTCCAGAAGAGGAGTGGGGGCCACCACACTGAAAACAGCCATCAAGTCAAGGCAAAGATAATGCCTCGATCTTCAGCTCTGGGTGTATGGATGTGTCAGAAGCTGCAGCAGGAGCCAGTCACAGCAGCAGGACACAGGCTATTAGAGAGGGCCCAGCAGGGAGCGGACCCCACCTCCTCTGGCTGCTGGGAGCTCTCTGTGCTGTATCTCATCAAGGCATGATGCTGAGAAACTGCTGCTGGAAATCTGCCTCCAGATGTGGGAGCAATAGGTCACAGAGGAGGTGGGCAGGTTGGAGAAGAGCAAGAAGGATGTAAGGGTTGGAAGGAGCAGACTTTGAACTGAAAGACAACAAAATTTCATGCATAGCTTATCACAGAGAGGGCTGAATGGTGAATTCACTGCAATGCATGAGGAGATACCTGGTAACAGGTTAACAGAACTGTAATTTAGCAGAAAAAATATATAATGTAGTAGGCACTCTGTCTTCCCTTTTGAAGCAAATAAGACCTAAGATTTACCCGATGCTGCTATCACGCATTCAAGTGGATCGCAGGTCCTTCTTGTTGCTTTTTCTGCCTTCCCCAGTCCAGGCTCTGCCCAGCTCCTGGTGCCTGGGCATCTCCCACCGACCTTCCTCCCTGTGCTCAGCTGAAGGCCCACCAGGCAGGAAATGCTGCTCAGGGCATCTGCAGGCTGCCAGGCCCTGTCCCGGGTGCTGCCCTACCCCATTTGTGTAGCCCAATATAGCCCAACATTTGCCATTTACGTGAGTACATCCCATTCAGTTCATCACATGCTAGCTGAGCTATAACATGACACAACATGACCTGTCACTCCACTGGGTTGCACGATTTAGTCTTTGCTTTCTCTGAGCTGCAATCTCTGAAGGGCCACAAAGCAAGCTGCTGCCACAGGAAACAAGATAGGCTGCTAGTGCAGCTTGTCTTCAGCTGGGTATCCAGCATGAGAGCTAGAGAAGATGAAAGAAATCCACAGTATAACTCATCCTCTTCTTACACAGACCTGGAGCTCTGGTGCCTGACTTTGGCTCTGAGCTGGAAGCAGGCAGGCAAAGACCACTCTAGAGATGCCAAATCTGCATTTTATACTTTAGCTGCCTAATGTGCTCCCTGCAATTCTCCCAGCTTTTCCCCATTTCTGGTATGCGTTTCTCCCCACAACAGTTCAGCACTTACCTGACTGCTCCTCAGAAGCATGGCTAGACCTTGAATACAGCAGCAATATCATCCATCAACTGGTATATTAGTGCTCCTGCTCACTGGACCCTTGTAGAAATCACGCCAATACCTCCAGTGCCACATAACCTTCTCAGCCTAGCAGCTTTTCATTCTTCTCGTCCCTTGATTTCCTCCCACCATGCCACAGAAAGAGCAGAAGTAGCAGACTCAGAAGAAACCTGACCTGCCAGCCGAGGTTTGCACCAGGCATGCCCTCCTGACTGCCCACGTTGCGATTCTACTTTCTACCCATCAAACCAGGGGCAAAAGAAATTTGTAATTGATCTGCTCTGGTTCCGGGGAGCTTGCCAGGAGACCTGTCACACGCAGCCAGCAAAGAAGCACTCTGACTCTCCCCTAACATCACTTCCCTGGAGTCACGTGCAAGCTCAGCTCAAAGAGCACTGTGTCTGCAACAGCACCCAAGAAGCACTGGAGGCAGCAGGCAGATACGGGGCAGGCGCCCTGCACGCGCACCCAGCCTGCCCAGCTCTCACTGCTGCTGCGGTAAAGCACTTCACAGTCCTCGGTTCAGCGTTTTCTCCATGAGGCTGTAGGAGAGAGCAGTGCCTTGCAGCTGGATTTTAGCTCTGGGTTTACACTGCTCTCTGTGGCACAGAAGCTAGGAAAGAATTACGCAGCAGCTCAGTTCCTGAGATGCATTGCTTGTATGTGCCTTAGTTCTGTGCTTCAGCAAGGTTTGAGAACTGTCTTGGCAGTCAGGCTGGTTTACGAGGTACCTAGAAAGGAGGTTTTCCAGACACCCACAGGCTGAGGAAGCCAAGGAAAACACTGGTGCAGGGTCCAAGGCTGCCCAGCAAGGGCACCTGGGCTCAGCTGAGAAGGCTCTGCAAACAGCAGCCCTTGATTGCTTGGACTGGTCCAAAGCAGCTGCCAAAACCCCACCATCAGGAGGAGAAAAGGTGTGTTAATGCTATAGGTCAGTGCTGTGAAAGGGGAGAGCCAGGACATCATGTTGAGACAATCACCGCTTCCCCACCTGGACCCCAGCAGTGCTCTCCCTACAACCCAGGGCTGCTCAGTATTAATACTCCATATCTACCTCGAGCACATATAAGGGAAAAGGAAAGTGAAATAGTCTAATGCTTGAAGGCAGGGCTAAGATGCTCTGCCACAAATATCCCGTATCATATTACTTCACTTCTCCAGCTGCAGCTCCAATGTGTGCAACAGGGACGGGCAAAGCAGTGTGCACACGGACCAGCTGTGTTCAGGCGCACAGGGACCTGCCAGGCAGTGCCCACAGGCACAGGGAGCTCAGCTCAGGGTATGAGGGGGAAATCTCACCCAGGGTATACACTGGGAGACGAGGATGGTGTGAGAGGAAAGCACCATTACAGGCAGCAGTTGCACAGCAGGATTATTAGACCATGAGCCTTCAGATTCTGCTCTCAGACATCTCACAAGTTCAGAAGTAATTCTGCAGCGGTGGCGTGGCTGAGCCTCTCAGCCATGCTGCCCCTTCTTTAAACAGCCTCAGCACTGCGCAAGGGAGAAACCAAAGGACCACTGTTAACTTTCCCTAGCTCAGCTCTATGGGTCTGTACCTTTTGCCTAGCTTCCTTCAGCAAACCTACGCAGCAACCTGCTTGCTAAATAACACTGCTTCTTCCAAGATAAAACTCAACAGCACACAGCTTTATTCCCTGGTGAGCCAGCCACAGTGGCAGGTAGCAGCTGCGTCACTGAAAAGTGCATCAGCGCAGGACAACCCTTGGCTGGAAATGCCTGGGCTGTGGCAGGCAAGCTGAAGCAATGTGGGAGTTGGAAGGGCTGCATATGCGTCACCTGGCACAATCATGAGTGGCAGGGCCTCAGCTGTCACCCATCCTAATGCTCCAGGAAAGGCAGGCAGGGAAGCTTTGCCAGGAGGCCTGGAAAGGGAGGCCTGTCTGCAACAAGCACACATGAGGGGCAGGCCTTTGCCAGCATCTGGATGGTACCTGAGACACGAGGCTGCCTCCATACATGGGCAGGCACTGGTCCTCATGCAGGCATGGACAGCTTGGCTTTGAGCTCCTCACAGGTCCAGTCCTGCCTGCAGTTACTGGATTACTGAGACAATCTTCTGTCTACTCTCACAGCTGTTAGCTGTTCTCCACTTACAATCCACGCCTGAACTGACTGCAGGTTAACAGGAACAAAGAAAACCCTGGGGTCCTCCTTAGGGGAAAACTTGACTGAAAAGCAATCTTTTTAAAGGGCAGAAAACACATAACATGTAACCTGGTCCTGTATATTCCCAAGTACTCTACCCTCAGGCATACTGTGAGAACAAGAAGAGACCACGGTCCCTGTGTCTCCCTGACTTGAGCACTGGCTAAGGGATGGGGGCAGTGCAGCTGGGGGACTGATACAAGGGCAGACAACTCCCTCTGCAGAGATATTTTTTTGTCCCTTAATGGTCTCAGCTCCCTTTCAAGTGCTTCTGCACTCAACACAAAAAGGACACACCAGGTTCATTCCATGCCTCCCAAGTCCAGCTTTCCCCAGCACCCGGAGAAGTAGATACACAGGACCAGAGCAGAAACAGAAGACTCGATGAAAAATACATAGGAAATCAGCACATAGTTGTAAGTGAACACGTTGTTGGGAGATATCCAGTCTGTGACAATTAAGAGTGTGGGGTGAAGGGTCTCCAGGTACAATGAAGTATTCTCAGGCACTGTGGATCTATGCATAAAGCGTGACTGTTCCCATCCTCTCCCTTCTGCCAGGATGAGACTGGTCTAGGTACTGCAGTCCCAGCCACTGAGATCGGCTGAATGCTGAAGAAGGTGAATCCCTGCAAGAGTCCTGCCTAAAGGCACAGGGCCAACTGTGTGCAGGGAAAAAAAAAAAGGCTGCCACGTATCTGGATTTGTTCACGCGATTATGCAAGGCTCAGCAGCACCAGCAGATGACAAGGCTGAATCATTTTCATCTGCAAGAAAGTCAGGAAACACAATGCAATGGAGAACATAAAAGGAGGGCTTCATTCAACAATCCCAATATGACATGCTTGCTATGATCTACACAGATCCCGCAGAATTTGTTTGTCTTCTGCCTGACCTCAGGCACAAGAAAAGAGTTCCTAGGTACCTTAATAACCAAACACAGGAACGAAGCAATTGCCAAACGCTTCTGGGAGAAGCCTTTCTCAGCCACTCAGAGGAAGACAAGATAGGCCGCAGCTAATAAGCTGTGGTCTAACATGAATTTCCGGGAACTGAATGATGCAGGGCACTCAGTGATGTCTGTGCAGAGCTGCAAACCCTGCAGTAAATCTGTAGCCAACAGCATGTTCTGATCCCTCTCCACTCCCAGCTGCTACCAAACCAACAAATCTAGATTTTTCCAGAAATGTACAACAGCATCACTACTGCTTCTCCCCGGCTTTAGCAACTGAATAGGACATTGATTTAGCCCACTGACTGCACAGGGGGAAGTATACATCCACATCAGTCAACTAAAATATTGGGCTTAGCCAGCTGTGTCCAGAAGGCTCCTCCTGACGCTCCATATACCCTCCATAATCCACCTAGCGTACTACAGCCTCAGTATCCAGCTGCTGTGACCTCGTTTAAAGTCCTCAGACTGCTGCCTTATGCTCCCAGCCTTGCCTTCAGCTCACTGTCTGTGCTAGACCCCGGAGCTCTCTGCCCAGCATCCCTTCTGATGCATGCCTCTCTCCACAACCTTAAGTTACTGCAGCTGACCATGCAGTGCACAGATTTACTTTCTGATGATCCTCTTCCTTCCAGCCTCAGACCTCCAAACTGTGGTCTCCAACAAACTCGAGCTCCCTCCGTCAGCCTTGTTGCAGTACTGCAAGCACAACGCTTACCATGGGTGCCAGGAACCCAGCCCTGTGCTGATTGTTCCTACTTTTCCCAGCCTCTCTCTGCCGCTGATCTCTTTGCAGGCCAGGAATAGAAACTGGCAGCTGCTTTCCATTTGCCCTGCTCTATTTCCAAGTAGTTGATGGCCAAGAGACTCCAAGATGGCACACATGAGGGGAAAGAGCCCCTTTTCTCCTCCGTTTCCTGGGGATGCTGAAGTTGCCATCTGGCTTCCTGTGCATCTCCTCTGCTTACCGTGTCACTTGGGCTGTATGTCCTCAATCCTGAGGGTTCGACTGCAGCTCAGTACAGGAGCTGTTCAAGGGAATGGAAGAGAACTGCAATGGGAAGCAGAGATACAGCATTAGGGAAGTACTGGCTGGGTCACTGGCCATGTCACAGCCCCTTGTGTTGTGGACTTCTCTTTACGAATCTCAGAGATCCCCTCCAGGGTCTCCCCCAACCTGGCACATTCAATGAACAGATCCTTGATGCCAAGATCACCAAATAAAACCTGTCATCCAGGAGACAGGAAACCAAGCACCGCTTCTGGAAGCCTCCTACCTCCTATACATGGATAGGGCAGCTCCACACATCCTACAGTGGCTGTGGGGACATGGCTGTGGCAGATGAATGCACTAGAAGGCTGGAGCTGCCCCCTGCTCACCTGCTGGATTTCCTGCATCGCCAAGCGTATGGAGGAGTGAAGGCGAGGGAATGCCCGCTGGCCGCCTCCCTCCTCTCCTGGGCTTGGCTTTGTCCTGCTCTCATCCAGGCTCTGTTGCTCTTGGCACTTCTTGGCCCTCCTGAACCACACGCGTCTGAGAACTGAGGCTGCTCCTGTCTGTAGAGCGGGCCTTCCAACAGGAGGCCCAGAGAGGCAAGCCTGCTCCCCTGGAGGGGTCTCCTCCTCAGCTGCAGTTGGAGTTACTGTGAGACACTCCAGGTCTTCATAATCCAAACTCCCACTGCTTTTCTAAGGGTGAGAAGAGCAGATTCAGCAGCGGTCACTACAGACCCTCTATGTACCCCAAACAGCACGGCTAAGAGCAATATCCAGCTGTGATTACTGACAAGCATAGGGCAGGGGCTATCATCCATCCCAGGAAACCCCAGTGGCCAGCTACTAGCCTTCCCCGCTACGTGCGGAAGAGGCCAGACTGCTTGACCAGTACAGGACTCCCACAACGGGAACACAAAGCAGAGATATTGCCACAGTGGCTATTTCTGCTCAGGGCACAGTCCCAGGCCCCAGCCCCTTTTCCTGCTGCAGATTTTCAGCATTCACCTGTCCGCAGGGAACAGTAAGTGTCTCCATGAAGGGCTGGATGCCCACCGTCTGGTGATACCGAACCAGTTCAGTGAGTGAGGCATGAGCCCGATCTTCACCCAGAATTACGTAGCGTGCATTGGGCTGCATCTCGATCATGTAGTGTCTGCAGCGTCCTTCACCCCTGGGGAGAGGAACAGACACAGGGCATGA